GCAGAGGAAACTGGTAATACTGTATGTACACGGTTCATTGTGGGGAGTCCCAACTGTCCTCCTGTGCCTAGAACTGGGTGGTGACACTGGGTACTCTCCTCAGGGAGTCCAGACATCAATTTGTTACTCTTCTAAAGATGTGCCTACCAACTTCAGAGAGAAGTTTGCTGAATTTCTATGGCTATGGTTTCACTTTTCAATTTAAGTCTAATCGATTTCAAACCAGGACATGTATTTGCAACAAGGGCAGCAGAAGGACAAAGCAAGCAGTTGCTGTTACGCTTATAAAACAGGAACAGCAGACGTCCTTCCCCCAGAGCCACACGGCCATTAACTCCACGGGGCTCAGACAGCAAAATTTCTGTCCATCAGCTGTGGCTAATTCCACCTCACTCCACCCCAGTGGTTCTCAGCCCTGGCTGCACATCAGAGTCCCTGTGGAAGCTCCTGAAAATCCTAATGCCCAGGTGGACCCCAGTCATGGGTAGTTTTAAAAGTTCACTGGTCAATTCCAGTGTGCAATGAACGTGCTGCCCAACATATTACAGGAAGAACCATCACTTCTCCCTCTCTTTTGAGAAAAGATCAAATGCTTGGTCCATTGCTTGAAATATGTCAAAATCCATATATGCTAGAAAAATGGCATCAGGACAAGTATCTGTGAAATATGAACTGGCATTCGGCTAGAGTTAGTGCCCTTAAGGATGACTCCCTACTGGGAGAATAAGCATAACAAAGACCATGGACTAGTCATCTAAAACCAGAGACAAGGAGGTAAGAATATCCACCTCACTGAATAGATCACAAAACACACTGGTGAGGACTTTATTCATTTTACTTGCTCTTGGCAACCCATTGTTGTTTTGAACCATGCAGGCAATAGAACACTTTTCTGATTACGTGACTAGAAGGGGATTGAAGTCTCGCGTGTCTGCGCACATGCACACTGTCATGCATCTGCACACGTGCACAAATGCATGCAGGGGGAGGAAATCTACTCCTGCCCTGGTTGACAGGAAGTAGAATGGCATCTGGAAACTTAGGTTATTTCAGCATGATAAGAAATGCCAAGCTACTTTACCACTCATCTTATCTATAAAATTAAGTGGCTGAACTGGATAATCCCAGAAAATTCTCTTTTGTTGCCCATATTCTTTTTGAGTGTTTCCTGACTACTCACAAGTTTTGCAGGATTCACAATCTCACATGCCAATGGCTTTCAGTGGTATCTAGAAACTTCTCCAGGTCATTACTTCAGGCTTTTTCCCAGGCTCACAGTCCTGATCCCCAAAAGCACATTCTTATTAGACAATCACCACATCTAGCTTTTAAGCTTAAAGACAACCAACATTACTTAATGCCACTTAAGTACTACTAAGTGCCACATAAAAGTGTAACTTGATAGCTATACTTGGCCTAATGAAGGCCTCTGAATGTGGGTGTGTGCCACAGCACTATTTCAGGGGTGGGGCAGCAGAGCTGGTGGACCCCCTGCCCAGCCCTCATAGAGACAGAGCTGCTGGGTAAGAGAGAACCAGTTAGAGGTGGTAGCCGTCGGCTATCTCAGCAGTTTCAGGCCCAGAATATGCACCCTGGCTGTGAGAGGCAGAAAACTACCCTGAAATGAATGAATGAGTATCACTTCCAATGAAATGACATTTCTTCATTAATCCTTACTCACCAAGGATGTCCCAGTAACTAACACAAAAGCCAATCAAGATGGAATCTTGAAAATATGTCACACTACCTAAAATGTATCTTCTTGTTAAATCTGCTCATTCACTCCTGCACTCACCAATCATTTACGGTGTGCCACTACATGCTAGGCTGTGTACAAGGTACAATGCTTTCAAAGATGACAAAGGCAATGAGGGTATTGCCAGGAGCCAGAAGACAAACCCTGGAGTCAGAAAGTCAGCACTGGTGATACAGTGGTTAAGGAAATTGGCTGCTAACCAAAAGGTCAGTGGTTTAAACTCACCAGCCACACCCCAGGAGAAAGATGAGGCAGTCTGCTTCCGTACAGATTTAAAGCTTTGGAAACCCTATGGGGCAGTCGAAATCAACTTGATAGCAGTGGGTTTGGCTTTGGCTTTGGCTTTGGCACACTACACATGGTGTAATGAGGATAGCAAGAATATGCTCAGCCTTCTCCCATGACTTCCGAAACTGCAGAGATTCCTCCTCTAGGTGTGGTTCAGAGCTCAGGCAATTCATCCCAGTGGGACCACAGTCTGACTAAAATACTTGCTCTTTGCAAACAAGAAGAAAGGAAGTACCAAAGCTTATTAGTCTGTTAACTACAGTCCTTGTTGCTGCTAAGTTAGCCAGCAGGACAGACTGATTCAATCAGGATGTGGTTCATTTTTGTAAGGATTTTACTTCTTGAGAGGCAAAGCTTTCTCTTGAGATTCCAAACCCAAACCCAAAACCCACTGCCATCAAGTAGAATTTGACTCACTTCAACCCTATTATCACAGAATAGAACTGTCCCCATGGAGTTACCAAGGCTGTAAATCTTCACAGAAGCAGATTGCCTCATCTTTCTCCCACAGAGCAGCTGGTGGTTTCAAACCACCAACCTTTTGGTTAGCAGCCGTATGTTTTAACCACTGTGCCACCAGAGCTCCTGAGACCCCAAGTATCACAGAATAATTCTCATTTGCACTGCCTGCAAAGCAATTTTACATTCTACAGTGAGTCTCAGACCACTTTAGATGTTGCTACAAAAGAGAACAGACTCGGAGGGAAGACTTTTTTTATATTTCTTAATACTAGGCTTGGGTGAAGTCAGTAAGAAGCCATAGGAAAGCACATTAGTCTTCAGTTAAAGACATAAGAAACAACCCATGACTGCTTAGCAAAATGACATCTCAGCATCTAATTTTAAACAAAAACTATCCCTAGCCAAACTGGGTAAGTCTCATCACCGTTCCATCTTGACCACATGCAAATACTTCCTCTATTCAATTTTCAGAAGAGTTTAACAGGAGGAGCAGAAAGGATAATTTTATCTCAAAGGTAAAAAACCTGGCATCTATAATCTTTTTCTTTTAAAATAAATAAAAATAGCTAAAGTCAAAATCATGATGCAGGAACACTAAGTTCTAGTACAATGCTGGGCAGGCTATCTAAGCCCTTTCTGGTCTGATTTCCTCTTTATATAATTAGTGCTTATAAGGTAATAAAAGCCACAGGTAAAAGCTCTAAGAGTTGAGGCAGAAATGTGTACTCTTGTGTCCATCTTTCCTGTATCTGGCTCAAAAGTCTGAAAAGCTTTTTTAGAAGCTAAATGAGTGTGACCACCAAACTCAGCAATGTAGCAGGAATTACACAACATATGACTGCAGACAGTAAACCAGAGGTATCTATTAAACTTTTCTTCCAGAAGTCACTTTTAGGACTTTGTAGGAACTCTTTTTAGGAATTTGTAGGAACTCTTCCAGATTGCATGATCATTTTGAAATAAATTTTTTAAGTTTAACTAAAGCATTCATCAACAGTTAGGTAAAGTATTACAATGAGGATGAACAAATTCAAGCAGAGTCCGACGGAAGAACAGAGTTGGAGCTACTCTTTCCGTGTAGCAACCAAACCAAAAAGCCAAAGTCACTGCCATCAAATAGATTCTGACTCCTAGTGACCCCTGCTCGGGTTTCCAAGGGGCTATCTCTATGGAAGTAGACTGCCCAGTCTTTTTTCTGAGAAGTGGCTGGTGGGTTGAACCACCTTAGGCACTATGCCACCAGAGGCTGGAATATGTCTTAAGCAAACTTTGAAAGCACCATGCAAAGTTAGCAACTACCACCACCATGTGTAATTCAAAATCACAAAACCAACAAACAAACCCCATGATGTTTAATTAAGAAATAAGTATAAAGAAGTCCAACTAAATTCTGTTTTTCCTGGTAGTTATATGAATTATTTATTTATTTATTTGGAAATTTACTATCAAATTATTTACAAAAACAGTTTTGGTGCTCGTCTTGTTTGGGCTTTAAGTATATGCTATGGGAAAATACTGGTGGCAATTACACTTCAAAGAGCAGTCTTGAAAAAGACTCCTTCCCCAGCACCTCCACAAGAAAAAAGAGAGAGAGAGAGAGATACCTTACCTCCCTAAAAAGTAGGAGGAGCTGCTGCCTTTAACATGAGACCAGAACAACTGGATGTTGTCTGGCTACTGGGCATTTTGATCAAAGATTCTATAGAAAAATCCTGAACAAAAGGTGGAAGATAATAGAACAGAATTTCAAATTCTCAGGGAATCCAGTCTTTCTGGAGCCAGTGAGGCTGGAAGAACCCCTGAAAAAATTGCCCTGAGGTCATCTTTAAACCTTAAACCAAAAATGCCCCTGAAGTCTTCAAACCAAACAATAGTTTAACCAATAAAGACTGTCTGCTTTGAGCACTGAGCTCTTTTAAGAACTATCTATACGGGATCAAACTGCCAACAGCAACTTGAAAGATTAAATAAGCTCCTCAGAGGGCAATGAGTTTATGTTAATGGGGAGGAATAACTTGAAAAAGGAGGGTGAGAATGGCTGCAAGAGTCAAAGAACGTCACCAATGTCACTGAGCTGTACGTGACGAAGTTGGGGCTTCCGTACATGGTCTCAACAGCACCACCACCACCAGCAGCAAAAAGCAGTAGGTAAAAAAAAGGGGCCCAGGGGTCTTCCAGTCACTCTTTAATATACTAGCAAAACACACAAGGATTCCTTTTGCAAGAGCTTCTTCTTTAGCAGTGAAGGAAGACTCAGCCCGAATGTCCCTTTTTATAATGCATCTTTTCCCATTAAAAACACTTATTCAAACCAAATTTACTTCTCCTGGGAAGAGACGTTCTAATGAGACTGGGTCTTTGCTAAAAATATACCTGAGTCATTTACACTGCTATTCCTCTTGGCGTAAGCGCTGCGAACCACCTGCTCATACACCTGGGCGCCGATTGTTCTCATGTTGTCCCGGATCAGAATGCCTTGAGCTTGCATCATGAAGAGGTAGGTGTTCACTGCAGAAAAGAGAAAGGAAGGGAAAAAAGGGTGAAGTCAAAGGCGATCATAAAAAAAATAAAAAACAAACACAACTACTAGTTTCTTTATTTTCCTTTCTTTTGCATCTTTAAAACCCTTCCTTCGCAGCTCTAAACTCCTGCAATGCCATCACTCTTATTTTCCATGTCAGGTTCAGTATTGTCAGGATACCAATATTCCTGGGGTAGCCGGTAAGGCTTAGGGAATTTCTGTGAATATTCAGCAGTTTTAAAAACAAACAAACAAACATAAATTTAGAAATTCAGGTTCTACTTGGTCTTTGAATACCCAATCTGTGTCTAGCACTGTGGTTATTGGGAAGAACTTCATAAATCAATTGAAGTATTTTAAGAAAGGTCTGTGCTCTCTTTAAGTTCACCTTCTAATTACTTAATGGCCAATACACAGAGAAAGAAAACTAATGACTGCAGTCTCCCGGAAACACTTCAATCTAGGTTTGGTGTTAGCAATCTTGTTCAAACTGGTGGACTAGGGCTCCAAGCAGTCTTTGTGGGGTTTGGAGAGAAACGGGAGGTAAACAGAGAGTGTCAGCAGTCCTCACTATCCACTGACCCCAGCCCAGCGTTGTCCAAAGCAACGGAGAAGAGAAGGCAGCAACCCAAGTGTCAAAACACACTCTTAACAAATGACCATTTAGATTCCCATAGAGCCTGCTCCCACTTCTTCTAGGTCTTTCCTATCCAAGAATGCAAATAGAAGTTCTCTTTCTACACACAATCCTTTTTAAACATACCAGTGAAGAAAATATCTTTTACATGCATAATATAAAAGAAATCCAAAGCAAGCGTGTCCTGCAAAGTTTTTTTTCCCTATGTAATATGAAAATATAGACACACACACACACACACACACTTTTTCACTTAGTATTGCATGGATATCTTTCCTTATCAGTATATACAGGCATACTTTCTGGTTTTTTAACAGCTGCAGAATACTATTCCACTGAAATATTATTTAAATTGATTTTCCCAGTCCTGTTTTTACAGGTTGTTTCAACTCTTAAAAACATGCTTCACTGCCCAACTTTGTTCATGTACACCAGGATGTTGCCCAACTGCTCTCCAGGGAGTTGGTATCAGCTGATTGCCATTAATTGAACAAGAGGTTTCTGAGTGCCTATCACAGGCTAGGCCCCTGCCATCACTGCTACTAGGTATTTTTTTTTCCTTTGGTGGGGGCAGTCTTTTTTTTTTTTTTTTCCTTATTGTGATTTGGGTGAAAGTTTATAGAGCAAACTCATTTACACTTTGTCTCATGACATTGACTACAATTTACCACAATGCAACAGCTCCCCTCCCACTTCCTCCCCATTCCTCCCCATAGTTACCTCTTCCCTGTGTCCTTCCCTCCTATGCACTCCTGCCGCAAGAGCTGTCTCCTTGTGCATACACAGGCCTTCTAGTCTCCCATGACTGATCTCTCCAAGGAATGTATCTACCTAATGACGGCTCACATGCCTATCTTTTCTTTGGCTGGAAGCCACAGGACAGGGCTCAATCCAGACCTGAAAGGCAGCTAGGGGCCACAGTCTCGGTGGTTCCATCAGGCTCTATCAGACCAGCAAAACTGGTCCCTTTTTTAAAAAAAAAATGATTCTGAGTTTTGTTCCACATTGTTCTCCTATTCTGTGTAGGATCTCCTACAGAGATCCCCCTCTGAGTGGTTGACAGCAGTAGCCAGGCACCATCTAGCTCTGGTCTCAGTCGTATAGGCTGAGGATCGCATGGTGTACCAGTTACTTGGTCTAATTGTTTCCGTGCATCTTTAGTTTCCTCATTCTTCTTTGCTCTGTATGAGGAGAGACCCATCATTGCATCCAGACGGCCGCTTGCAAGCCTTCAAGATCCCAGTCACTATTTGCCAAAATAGGCTGTGGAACAATGTTTCTGTGTAGTATGTTATGCCAATTGAGCTTGATGTCTCCTGCAACTATGGTCCCAAGCCTACAGGTCCAACTTACTCACTCCCTCTGGGTAGCTGGCTGTGGTCAAGAAGCGACTACAACCTTGTCCCTTGTCAGCTCTACTATATACCTGGGACTGGGAATTCTTACAGAACACACAAATACACTTGTAGAACCACTGTCTCCCAACCCTGTATGTGGTCTTGGGCACACTCCCCACTGCACAGACATACCTAATAGTTCAGCCTGTCCACCCATCATCCATCCGTATATCAATGTTTGTAGGGAGGGCAGTCTTGTAACCAATTTTTTTTGTAGAGATTTTTAGAGGGTGGGAGAAGAAAGCATGGCAGGTGCCAGACAAATGCCCCCATTTTCTTTAGCAGGTGATTTCACCGACTAACCTAGCCATGCAACGTATATGAACACTCCCGTCTAGTTCTACTCCAGAGCAAAACGTAATGCATTTCAAAAAGAAAAAGGAAAAAAAAAAAAAGTAAGCCTGGGTTACTCTCCTGCTGGGAAATAACAAAATCTTAACAGGAGCCATTTTAAATTTGGCTTGAATCGCTTTAAAGTTCCCAAAACAAGTGCAGTTGTAAAGACTAACTCACACTCTGCAGACAGAGAAATCTATGAGACACAATAGTCGGACCCTCGCTGGAACCCTTAACCTCAGCTTTCCTCAGCGGCTTTGTCCTCTTCTGTTCTTCCCTCCCTCTCCTCTTCATCACAACTGCTTTCTGAGCAAGTTTCTCATCTCACTGTTCACACTGTGCTATCCCGTTTGAGCTATGCTCCCCTCAATCCATACAGTGTCCAGAAGCTACTCCTTGCTGGCACCAGTAGGCAGTGCAGGCTCTGCCCCACTGCGTGCCTAGTTCATGACAGCCTGCCGCCTCCTTTGCACCCTATGGGATTACAGGGAAGAATGCCAACACAGTTCACACCCCTCAAAGGCATTCTGGGAGCTGCTCAGAACGTCCAAGGAACAGCCTACAAACTGGCAGTCCTCTCTCTGTTCTCAATAACCACTAAAGGCAATCCATTAGCATATTCTACTCTGCATCTATTCAAAGTTTGGCTCTCACTTCTTGTTTCCATTTTCCTATTTTCTTTGTTTCTATCCAACCTCTGCTATTCCTAAGTAGCTTTTATCCACTTACAATCTTCCAGCATTTAAAATCTACACTAATTTGGGCTTACACTGCAACATACTGTGTTTAAGCGGAGATTGCATATTCATTTTTTAATATGAATAAATATCAAAGGAAGAACCCAAAGCCATGTGCTTCCTCAGAGAGTGTGAGGATCCTTTCTTGTGGTATGTAATTCTTTACCAAATAAAATTACCCTCCCACCCCTCCCTTCATCATCAAGTTGGTGGCAGATTTGTCAAGAATAAGACCCCAAACTCAGAACTCAACCTCCATCTCTTATGAAAATCCTGCCTCATGAGTATTTCCCCATCTTAGGAGAGTGATCTGCACCTGGACTTTTCCTGTGACAGGAAACTAAAAGACCACAAACGCCAAACCCAAAAACCCATTGTCAACAAGTTGATTCCAATGTACAGCACCCCTGTTGGACAGAATAGGACTCCCCCATAGGGTTTCCCAGGCTGTCACCTTTACAGAACCATACTGTCTAATCTTTCTCCCACAGATCCGCTGAGAGCCACTGGGTGGGTTCAAACCAATAACCTTTGGGTTAGCAGCCAAGTGCTTAACCACAAACATTTCAAAATACAATTCCTATATTTCATTTGCAAATCTCAAATACCATCTAGTTTCAACAAACCACAAGGTTTAAAAACCTATCATCTCAACCAGCCAAACTTATTTCCTTATTTCCTCTCTTCATAGTTGGGAAAAACCAAACCTAACCCACTGCCATTGAGTCGATAATGACTCACTCATACAGCCCCTATAGGGCAGAGTGGAACTGTTTCCAAGGCTATAAATCTTATATGGAAGCACAGAGCCTCACCCTCACCAGTGGAGCAGCCGGTAGATTTGACTGACCTTCTGGTTAGCAGCCAAATTCTTTAACCACAGCACCACCACAGCTCCTTTAGTTGGGAAAAGGGAACATTGTAACAGGGGCGGCACATTTACAAATCTAAACTCTGCTGTGGGTGGGTGGATGAAAGGAGCATCATCTCAAAACTTGGCCGCAGGCGGGGACACGACCTAGGGCAAGCACTCAGCTAGATGAAATACATACGGCTGAGGAACACATTTTGTTGACACTGTGCTTCATCATTATCATAGTGTCCCACACAGAATGGGCAATGCAAAAATGACTGGGTGGACGGACGAAGGTTAGAAGTCAATTTATTTTACTTCAAGTGATTATGTTGTTGTTGTTAGGTGCCATCGAGTCATCTCCGACTCATAGTGACCCTATGCACAGCAGAACCAAACAATGTCCAGTCCCGCGCCAAATCCACGATCCCTGCTATACTTGAGCCCATTGCCACAGCCACTGTGTCAACTTGGTAGTTATACTGGTGATGAGAGTGGAGGGGGACAAACTGGCTGACACAACTCTCAGGGTTGAAAAACTCAGGTGGCCAAAATTAAACTGGGGCATAAAATCTTTCAAAAGATTTGCAATCATGTCTAAAGAATACCACAAGCCATAAACAAAAAGCAAAAGCAGTCAGTGGTCAGAACGCTTTCGGAAGCGAGGTGGTCACTGCACATCACGCCTAGCACGGACTGGAAGACAACCACACACAGGCAGTCCCCGGTCCCAAATGTGACTTAGGGACAACTCCTACTTGCCCTTTAACGTTGTGTAATCTGCCCCCACTTTGAAATAACTGAACCAACCCATACTCACAACATATTCTTCATCACAATCACCTTCACTTGCTGCATGTGCGACTTTTCAATCACTGAAAAGGCTCGAAGCACTGAAGTATTAGGCTGAATAAGAATCGTACGCTCCTGTTGCAACTTGCCTACGAATTCTACTGTAAGACTCACTTAAGCACTTGTGGTGGTTAAGTTTGTGTGTCAACTTGGCTGGGCCAGGTTGAGTGGCTGG